ATTTGAAAAACGTAAAATTACGACAATCGTAAATTTGTCAGATTAATCACGGCTGAACTTTTGTGTGAAAAATCCACTTAAAACTTATTGATTTATTATTGCTAACATAAGATTCGCGAAATGTCATTTCTCACCCGATGACATTAATCACGTAAAGAGAATCAACAGAATTTTTGTCTTCGCCCGAAAGGCAAAAGTCCTAATCAGGATGAGATGTGTACGTGAAACACGTTTAACCAAATAGACAAACCGCGTAGAAAAATGCTAAAGAACGTTTAAAATGAACGCTTCTCTATAAGGCTCTTTTCTTCCGAGAACTTTACTCTTGTGGCATTTAGAATTTCTTAAGCAATCCATTATGTCTGCCAATACGCACGTCACGCTCGCCCTATCCTCGCATCGAGGTCCCTGACACGACCTGAAGCTCGTTTTAAGAACGAAATAATCTCATCGACGAGAAGTTGCTGGGAATCTAAAGGAACTGCAAAATCAACAGAGAATTTACATGTCCGACGTTCATACTCTCGACTTTCGTGCTCTATGGAAGTCGACGGGTCAACGAAATTTCTTCGACTTCATGTGACACACATATCCTTCATTTGCCGCCTAAGTGAAATTCCCCTCTACATTGGCTCAACTTTTCCGCGCGCGACATGAGAAAGTGACAAATCGTGGGAAAATTGGCGTTTCGCATTGATCGACGGTCGAACCACGAGCCCAAAATAATCATAGCAAAATCGTTTCAGACGAAAGCCCGAAGCTAATTATATAATTATTCAATGTGGAGGATTTAAAAACTGCAATAATCCTTGCAAGGAAATATCCCTATTGGTTTTAAATCATATTTTTCACACATTTCGCATTCACACACACACACACACAGTGTCGATCTCCCGTTCTCATCTTCAGAATTTATAATATACTAATAGCCCCCTGCAAAGAATACATTATTATTCCCACTGCTATTCCAGTTCTCATGAAAATGAGATGTTAATTGTCATATTTAATCATCGTATTACCGCAATATGTTTATACGCAATATGTTAATCCGCTCACTTTTGAATTTGCCTCGATCCGAATACGAGTGGCGTGTTAAATGTACGATGGGGCGCGATTCCGCAACTTCATCAAGTGCGTATTTTAGCCGAATAAGCGTTAAACACGTGTACAATGCATTCGTTGTGAGGATTCGCGGAACTTGGCGTCGCACGAATCGGCCTCACGTAATAGAAGACACACGAGTCGTGCTCTGACGATACCGGAACACACATCGCAGTGAAATCGAACGTAATGAGGCAGACGACCGTCTTCGAGCACATCTTCACACACGCATTAGCATTTCCAATCTCTCGTTTCTAGGAAGACCGATTTCCGACTGATCCTCGTGCGAAGCTCTTGCCGGTCGCGCAAATTCACTCGCTGCAATATTTCTTTTTATGATTTTGCTTTAACTCGCATTGTGCGAAAGTTAACTATTTTAAATCGGTGATTTCTTAAATCTCCACGTTAAATTTCGAATTTTTAAGCACATTGTAAAATCCATGAAAAGCGTATTGCTTCGCTTTTATAATAAATTTTGACCTTTAGAGATATCACATTTTGGAAAGCGTAAATAAAAAAATTGCATCTTGGATTAACAGATCTTAAAAAATTAAGTTTTCGAGGATCCGTAAACTGAAGAAACCGACAGCCTTAAGATTTAGAAATTTACAAAAACTTAATGACATGTCTCTTTAATGAAGCTTTAATGATAATTTAATATTTTCACGACAATTCTCCGTTATGTAAACGTTTAGCAGGAAAGCACGAGGCTTTATTAAGTGCAACGCACGCGACTGGCGCCTTTTAATCGGCGTAAAAATTTCTGACGGATTAATTAATCGGTTTCATTATCCGAAGCTAGACAGGCGAGCACCATCGTATAATAGCACGTCGTAAAGGAGTCCCACGACGATATCGAGCCGCGATGTGAAAGACCGAGAGAAATATACTTTCTAGACGGCACCAGAAGGAAACTGCAAGTTAAACGCATCCGCGGCAAGAGTATTGTTTCGTCCCGCGCGATGCGCAGCTCCGTAAGGTCAAAGTAACATCTTCCTGTCGTAACTTTCATCCGACGTTTTTCCGCGAGGCTCATCACGATCGACGCACGCGAAAAATACTTAATCGCCATTATTTTAGCGTACCTCACCATCGCAACGAAATCTGATCCACGTCGTGAAAGCTCGCCGCAGAAGTTTACCGTGCAAAAAAATCGAGTCTATTAAATTATATAATATTTAATACGTAACGCGTTAGAAAAGATATTGAATAAATTACAATATCGCGCTGGCGGGCGATGAGGACCGGACTTTCATAAATTTCGGTATCTCCCGACAGATTGATGCGGATAGTAATTGGAACGTCGGTTGTGCAACGACGTGCCACGGGAGCGCGGTCGGAAAAAGTGTGCTCCAATTTGCCGCGCTCGCGGCTAATGGCACGCGGATTGCGAAACGGACGAGAAATTAACTAGCAGGCGTTAATTCGCGCGAGATCGCGCGGATGAATGCGCGGCGGCGGTGGCGTCGTCGTCGGGAAAACATTTACCAAAGACGAAACGAGACGGAACGGAAAGGAACGCTCGCTGGCGCGCGGTTCGCACGCTTTCTCGCAAAAAAAACTCCCCCCCGAGGATTACCCAAGTCCTCGTCCTTCGCTTCCTCGTTTTGCCGCGCGATTTTCCGCGCGCGCGTTTTCGCTTATCTGAGGAAAACATGGAAAACCGCTTCGCTGCGACGGGCTCGCGTACGGGACGAGCGGATCTTCATCGGCGGAGAAAATCGACGGAAAACCGCGTTTTACTCATATTCAGCATTGCCCTAGCATGTAATTTCATTTTTCTTCTTGATACTGTTCCGTGCTTTTTTTCTGTTACTACACAGGAAACAAATAAGTGCCGGATCGATTGTTACACACTCAGATTAACGCGTTTATTGTTTTGTATATACGTAACAATCTATAATCTTCTTAGAAGCATTTAATAATCGTACATTCCAACAATATTACAGTCTCATTTAAATATTATAAATAATTGTCACTTTAAGAATAGGTGCATGTAATTATTTTGAAAATACGATCATTTTAATCATCATAACTTTCGATTTGAACGTATGTTATTTTCCATCCTTGTTTCCTTTACATTCGAGAAAATTCTTCTTAAATAATTAGTATACATTTTTCTTGTTTAAATTATATAAAATTACTTCATTCAAGTTTTTCTTCTTCTTTTAACGCAATGTCATTTCAAGATTTTCACGCTGAGACTAAACGTATTTTCGAAAGAAGAATATTCTTTTTTTTTCCTACGCAACCGCGTATCGGTAGTCTAATTTTTTCACTGTTAAAAATTAAGTATTCACCTCGATTTTCTTCCATTAGAAACCAATAATGCGAAAGGTTCGCCAAACTGCAGATACCCGAAACGAGAAAATCTCCGGTCAGACCGCCTGAGCGTTTGAGAGAAAGCTGGTCATCTATTATATCTCTCAAGAAAAGAAACCGTTCGATTGATGGGATTAGAGGAGTGTTGAAGTACAGAATGAGATTCCGCAGGAATTCTAACAGGAAGAGGAAGAAGAAGCATTAAACTAAATATAATATCTCTCGTCGTTATTGCGTTTATCAAAACAGTTTTTTTTATCGCAGGACGTGTTATTTAGCTCGCGCATTAATCTTTAATGATATACAATAGAATGATTTTTGCTTGCATTACTTTAATTACCGTCTGGGGAAATCGCAAATTGTTATTTGCCACGTTTGTATAAACGTGTTACCGGTACATTATAATTAAAGGTTAAAAATTATAATCAGACTTAAGACCAGTTTCGATGACTGACCAATTACTTGTTCGCGCATTGTCTGCTAGTAAACAGATTTAATCCAAATTTTTTACTGTCGCGTTAAAATTTAATTGCATTACTTTCATGTTAGCGACTGTACTAACGTTAGTTTATTCTCGTATAATGTTTACAATTATATCTTATCGATAACTTCTTATTAACGCGTCAATTATATTGACGTTTGCGCTTTGTGCTATAAAAAAATTAAAAAGTAATATAACAACTAATATGCAATTGGATAAAGCGTCGTGTGTAAAAACGCAATTTAAATTTTTGCAAAAGAAGGCAGCGTCATCGTATGCAGCGTATATTCCGAGAAATACGCGTATATCTCTGTTCGTAAGAGTAATTCAAGTGTTTTCAATTTGTGCTGACTTGCTCGATAAAACGACATAACTATTCACTCAATGGCATTCGAATAATTTCGAATTGAATAGGCATTTTCAAGCGAGGCTTTTATTGCGTTGACGCATCTTCAGCTTCCATATGAATTAATCGAACACATTCGCGCGACCCTCTCGCATGCCTTCCCGGCACACTTTTAATTTCCCTGAAATCTGACCCTATTTATTGAGTCCTGATAATCCTCGGGGGTTCAATAAAAACGCTTAAACTCCGTTCGCGCGATTAAAAAGTAAGCCCTGACAGACTTACACGATTTTATGGAATGCTATCAGATTTCACTCGCTTGTCATTAAACAACGTACAAAGCAATCAGACACTAACGCTTTGCAGCTATAGTTGAGGATGACTAGATCTCATGTTCAGATTCAGTGAGGATCGCGTGAGCCTTGGAAAAAGAGCGCGGTCCAAAGTACAAGACTGCCGAGTTTCCCAAGTATCGCACAGACGTCTGTAACAGGTGTGATCTCCAGATGGGGTTACGGAACAGCACGATTAAAATCGACGGGGATAAAAACGCGAGTACGACAAAAAGACGCTCATGTAAAATACTCCATCGCCGCGCAGGCGCATCGTGAAAATGCGCGCGTTGCGCAACAACTTGGTTATCGGCGGGATTCAATAAAAACGCTTAAACTCCGTTCGCGCGATATGAAATATCATACACAAATTCTGTAATGAGATAAGAGCCGCGAAAAAGGAATAAAAGTGACCATACGTAACGCGCCTTGGTCGAAGTGTATTGCAGAAATTTCTACAGTGGCCGTCTGATCGCGGAAGATAATCGCGGACGTGAACGGTGCCGGCTTCGGCTTTTCAATTCGCGTTACGCAAGGAAGTCGTCGCCGTCGGGCAGAAGAACAAACGGAATCGCTCGCCACGGGACGATGGAAAAAACGGCAGGACGAAGAAATCGACCCGGCGAAGGTCGAGTGCCATCGCGACGCTTTGTCATTGGAGACACGCTTAAAAATCTGCGTGGCCAGCAACGACGCGATGCCGCGATCGAGTTGGAAAATGTGCCAAGGTCAGTCACGGATGTCGATTTTATAGCGAAAGTGGTGCAACGACTGTCTGTTGCGCGGGCGCCGCTTGGTACCGTCGGGCGTTCTCCAAACTCCGTCGACCTCCCTTCGATTCCTTCGCCGCGCGCCGGCGAGACCAACAACGTCGCGCTTACGTAAGAGCGCAACGTGCGCACAAGATCGTATGTAACGTAAACATATCGTAACAAGGGAGAACACCGTCGAAATCGTCGTTACGCACGAGACTTTGTAGACTTACCTAGGCCAAAGTGTTCCGCAAAATCGTCGCGATCTCGTCGGGGATTTCCTCGACGCGTACGGAGAGAGAATTTTCTCTTAAAATGTACCCCGAGAATCATGTAATCGTGGGACATGGCATTTTCAAGAACTTTGTGGGAGTTTTTTTTTACCATACATTTTAAAATACCCAGCGACACCGTCAAATTGCTAGTAAAATGTACGGTAAAAGTTCAAAATCACTCATAAAATTCTTCGAAATGTGCCGTATTGTCCCATTGCACGATTTTCAGGGTAAATTTTTAGAGAAAATTCTCTCCGTGTGCATATATTGTATTTATTGACATATTTTATAACGCACTCGAAAAGTCCGCCTTACGGAGGGATAATCGAGTCGACCTTAAAGATCCCTTCTGCGGCGCGGATCATTTAGGCGTGTGATTCAGTCATCTCTCCCGCTTCTGACATCGAAATTGAAGACCAACGTCAATGATTTACGTCGTTGTATACCTGTAAAATTTCACTCGAATTAAACTTCATGAAATGTTCCTATAATGAAATCTTCCTATAAAGACGATTATGTGATCGAATAAATAACTCTCACGTCGGAAAATAACCCATTATTACGTTCTAATTGCATACGCGTTGTAAATGACGATTTTATATAATTTATTTAAAAAATAGTTATCGCTCGAACTTTTGCTAGACGAAGATCGGGAAAAAATGCTGATTTTGTAGTAATTTCTTGCACAAACATTATAAATCTGCCGGATGTATTAAACTTTGTACGTAAACACGAAACGTTTGCTATAAATCTACACTGAAAAACAATCTGATAGATTCAACCAGTCGTCTGTTAGAAAATAGATGAATCATCATTTCCTTTAGGATTTACCAGATTTGTAGTGAAGTCTAGCAAACTTCCGGTTATGAAATATCTTTCATGGTAAATCTTAAAGGAATTCTGATCCGTCCATTTTCTAACAGACTACTAGTTGAATCTATCAGACCTTTCTTTCAGTGTAGAACTCGATAAAGGCGCCATGGGTGACGCGTTATTTACCAATTAGCTATCACCCGAGTTAGCCACCATTAATGTCAACGACACACGATACTGTTTTTCCTACTGGATTGGTTACGACAGCCAATTGCACTTGAAATAATATACCTAAGGATTATTATGTTAGCGACTGTTGCCTTTGAATGTTTGTACATAAACGTGGAGCCTGATTCATCTCCTCGTATAATTTAAATGATAAAGCAACGAAGATTCTATTATTAAACCGTTTACCAAATGACAATGCCGTCCCCTTTGCATATCACAAAAGCATTCGTTGATCACGAAACGAGCGCCGATCGCTGACGTCCGCAGAATTTTCGGACTCGGTACGAGTCGAATACCTGTGGTAAAGATCTCTCAAGGTCATCTTATGTGGGCTTATAATTAAAATCATCGCACGTGTCTTCATGCATGCGACGTAACGGAGTCGCTGCCGCGCACCCGGCACCACTCGTATAAACGCATTGAATTTTTCATTTAATTATGCTGACTTTGACTTATGTTATAAATTTACACAAAAGTATGCGCGCGCATAATTAAGTATACATTCGGTATAAATTTGTTTCTTTCTTGTTCTTTTCAATGTCGCGACTCCTCAAATATCTACACGGAGAGAATTTTCGCTTATTTATCCTGAAAATCGTGTGATCGTGGCACAACGTGGTATTTCGAAGAACTTTGTGAGAGTCTTTTTGAAATTTTACCACACATTCTACACTGACAAAAAATTCTTTTAACTAAGTAAATAGATTTACTTAAAATTATTTTTTTTTTACTGAAGTAAATGTTTATTAAAATCCCAAATTTCATTCCACCACAGCTGGTCACATTTGTTAATTGATCGGTCAACATGCAGAAAATTTATTGTGAAAAATATTACTCAGCCAGGGTTTGAATCTGGACCTCTCTACACTCTAGGCGGGATGTTTCGCCAATTTGACCCCCGAGGCATATGATAATATTTGTCGCAATAACAGTAAAAGGATGTTGTCTACTCGTCTATTTTTGTCTTTAAATTGCGCGCCGATTAGAATTATCGACCGTAAATAGAACTGTTGATACGCGATTTTAAGTATCAACTATCCCCTATTCCTTTTCCGTCTTCCTCCAACGGTCCAGGTTCAAACCATGGCTGAGGTAATATTTATTTTCTGCGTTGGCCGATTAATTAATAAATGTGGCCAGCTGTGGTCGAATGAAATTTGGAATTTTAGTATTATACTGGCAATTTGAAGAAACTAATCTTAAATACTTATTCTATTTAAATAAAAATATCAAATTTCAAGTAAATTTGCGTATTATTAAGTGAATTATTAAGTAAATTAATTTAAATCATTACATTTTGTACATTCAAGTAAAGATTTCATGAGATAGGAAATACTATTTGTTAAGTGAAATCATTGTTTTTGTCAAATAAGAAATCCAATTTTCTGCGCTGTAAAACGTATATCTTAGTACACATTTTATAGAATTAAAGTAAAATTCTTCTTATTAAAAATTATCTATTGTTTCATATTTAATGAATACTTAAATTAAACAAATGCATGTTTTAATTTGTTTATTATTTTTTAAATTTAAGTTAATAAGCTATTAGGAGCCATCTAATGAATAATTTTCTTTCTACCGTTGAACATTCACTGGCGATTCACATTCTAAAGTTGTTAAATAATTTTCTTGTATAAAGTAATATTTTTCTATCAGTGTACTAGTAATTATGTATACATTTCATTAGTAGAATGTATGGTAAAATTTCCAAAAACTCACAAAGGTCTTCAAAATGCCATGTTGTCCCACGATCATTTCATTTTCAGGATAAATTCTCTCCGTGTACGATGTCGTGTACTGAAAAGAAAGAGAAGGCGGTCAGAAGGCACGCGTGAGAGCGAGAGGAAGGTTCTCGATCTAAATCGAGCAGGATTAATTAAGTAACCCTTTCATCTAGGTAATGCACAGTAAAATTGGAAGCGGTGAATTACAGCGCGCGACAAATAGGTGCGCCGGTGAAGAACGTCACAACGTGCTTGCAAAGTAATTTTTCTTCACTCGAAAGTACATGTAACCGCTGTTGACGTCGGGATTGTAATTGCGTCCATTTTATGATTTGATTAAATCGCTCGACTATTATAATTTATAAACAGTCTTGTAAAAATGTGACCTTCGGTCTTTCAAACTTATTATTTATTATCGTTGTGAAGTGTATGCGGTATTACGCAGTTTTATTCATCGACGTGGAATTATTTTAATCACAGGTATAAATAGAAAATGTAAATGTGGCTTCTATATAAACAACTAAATTACGGATAGCAATGTTGGTCGTTGGGATATTAAAAAGAAAACATGTAGGCGATGTGAGCCAACGCCCAGTCGACAGTGGTGAAAAATTAGGTATAATGTTGGTAATTTCTTATTTTATGTTTCGGACTAAGTAGGTTTAATTATTAATGTTGAAGAGGGTCGCTTTCGCAGACCGAAACGATACAATTGTATACTATTGCGACGCTATGTGATTTCTAACATTGAAAACTGATTGATACCAATATTATACATAATTTTTCACCACTTTCGACTGGGTGTTGGCTCGCATTGCCGATATGTTTTCTTTTTAACATCTCAACGACCAACATTATTATCCGTAATTTAAGCAGCTAATCACGAGTGTTCTTGTTGATCTGGTAAAAAGATACTCGGGACACCGTGGCCGTCGTGAAGAGACCGCGCGAAACGCTTGGCTCCCCGCTGCTCCCTGCTTGAGAAAACGAAATAAAATCTGCGCTGGACGCGGGGACAAAGTCGCGAGAATGATTTTTTGCATTGGTCGTCACTGGATTCGTGTTTCGACCATGGCCCAGAAAACAAAGAGGCTGATCTTTCCACACGCGGCGTCCTCGCGCCATGTCTTCGCGCGGAATGTCGCATTGTGCAACGCTCCTGCACTTCGATTTTCGAATACTAAGCGCCATTACGCAGACGGTCCCATTGACGTTAGCAAATCTGTAACTGCGTTAGCGAATGTCCACGTGACAGGTCCACGCGGGCGTGAGCGGCGATGTCGCGAGCCTTAACTGCTTGACAGGATGACGTCAATCGACGCCTGGATATAGCAGCACGTGGATATTTTACAGATCGCCGGGTTGCATTTTTAGTCTATCGTTATTGTAATGACCGCCGTAAAATTTTATCTGCGGCCGTCCTTTTCGGCTGCCCAGGCGGACAATGGCGAGTGTTGCCTGGGCTCTCGCCGGCTCACCAATTACAGACTGTAAAACGCTATTAATTCGTCGAGCAGCTATAACAATCATCCATTGGGGCTCGAGGGGGGAGAGAAAATTATTCAAAGGGAATTATACGAGGTAAACGATTGGCGGGACGGTGGCGTACGGTGGAACAACGCATGAGGGGTGCAACCCTGAATGAGTGCCGGCCTGTGCTCGCATCCGTAATGCCGTATTTACGTAATCGATCGACGTATCTACGACCGGCGTATAGGTTTCAGTATCATTTCGCGAACGGCGAGCCGCGCACCCGTTTACCTCGTCATTCATTACGACGACGGGGGCGCGTAATGCGGCCAGTACTTAACGCGATCGTAATCACGGCGATCGATCATGACAGTAATTACACGTGTCACGGTGGAGTAAACCATGTTGATGACGAATGCGGGATTAATCAACGGAATTAATCGAACCGCGGTAAGTTCGCGGTTAC